ATAATTATTTAATTTCAGGATTTCTCTTTGGTTTGTAATACAGCAAAAGATGTTGAGTTTTAGATTCTTATCTTAAAAAGCTGTTGTTCCCATATCAGTTTTTTTTAACCATATTAAATTTGGGTTGGCCTTTTAAAACTGTAGAATTATTTAAAAAAAATAATTGATGTAACTGCAAGAAAATGTTTTGCTTAGTTATTTCCTGTTTGTAAGGTAAGTTCTTCATAATTTCATGGAAATTACGTATGTCTTGCAGGAAGTACAATCATGTAAAGTAAATGCCCTTTTTGCATCAATAAAAGGGTTTATTTGTCAATCAAACTATACACATTTTTATATAGAAAATAAAAAACAGAAAATGAGACACGCTGGGTCAGCGCAAAATTACATGAATTTTGGGCATCACACTGAACTGGATAAACCTAAAAACCTCTAGGGAATGTGGAATATGAAATGTCATATGTCATACAAGAATCCAGTATTTCCAAGGCAGTGGATTTCCAATTCAGCCATTTACATGTTCCAGGGACTCCCTTATTACTTTTATAGTACAATTCTTAATAGGATAGAAAATGAACCACTTTGTTTCACTGTACACATGTAAACAATTACAACAACAGAAGTATGAACAGACAATTCTAGATTATTTTATCATTGGAAGTCATCCAACTGATTCAAGATAACTAAGGTGCTTTAGGGTTTTTAGACCCAAGACCTTTAGATTAAACCTTCAAGAAGGTTTGCCATATAATGTCTTTAATTTGCGCAAGTTACCTTTGGTTAAATGAAGGTGTTGATACAGCAATGCCATGAGTGTAGTAGCAAAATATCCCAGTATCTACATAAAACAGTGCTAAAAGATGCTGGCATTTAAAAAAAAAAAAGGTTTAATGTTCAATTAATAAAACCTTGCACATGTAACACTTATCAGTTATTTTTGTAGATCATATATAAAGATTCTCCTGCCCAATAATTGTAACACTTTAAATTGTCATGGTACCTATTAAATATTAATTAAAATTGAATTATTTGTCCTGTAATTGACCAACATTGCATGTTATTATATGCTAATTAAATGCTATTTACAATATTTAATTTGTTGTGCTAACAGAAGGTTTCCAGCTGGGACCATTTAATCAGAGATAATTTCTAGTGCTACACTTTTATATCCAAGGAATCAGAAACAAGAGGGCAAATGAAAAGGAATGTCAGGAACACAGATCAGAGAACGTACTGTGCAGATGTTTTCAGTTTCATTTGAAACTGAAGCATTTAGAATTAATAGTAAAAAAAAACATTTTTGTAATTACTTTAATATTATACTGTAGTTTTGGATGTTGTTTATAATACCAATAACAAAGTAAATTATAAGGGGTTTGACACTATATATTTTATGTCATTGTGTCTCCCTTAATAATCATATAAATAAAGAGAGATATGTACTGAGAAGTCAAGTCTTTTCAAGGGTGAAGAATCTATTAAAAAATGATTACGATTATAATAAGCACATATTTTGATATCAGCAATATGAAAGCTGTTAATATTCTCCTTCTTTTAACCAGGTTACTGTCTACTCCTATGAAAAGTTATTTGATTCAACTTAGTTTGTGCTAATATTTTATTACGTTTCAGTAATGTTTTTCTGAAGAGTGCGAGTGATGTATGATTTTAAATAGAATCTGCATGGCCTTGACATTGTTGTATTACTATTTCCAAAGTCAAAATTTTGCAAATCAATCAGTCAAAACAAAATGCAATTGCTACAAAGAGAGATTGTGCATGTTTTCAAATCAATAAATATTTTATATTGCAATATGTTTTACCTTTACATTCATCCATACAGATTTCCATGTATAACTTGGTGATAGATCTCCATTGATCTATACAGTATATTATCCTCTAAATCCTATGTCCATGTAATTATACATATATTAAAATAAAAGACTGAGCCGTAATTTCCATAGCAGTGTTTTGTTTTAGTTAAGCTTAAGGTAAACCTTGGGCTAAAAGTTTCAATTTTCAGAGATTACTGTCTTGTGTACTGTCTTGTGTGCCAAAACTCTTTTTGTACAGTTGAAAAGATGTATTTTAAAATTTTATTTCATGGTTCTTTCATGTTTATAAATCAAATGTACTAAAAATATAAAGATACAGTATAATAAATCAAAGATAGGATTAATGCAAACTGAAATGAAAATCTAATGTATTTTCCAAAATAGTTTCTAGAATTCAAATTGATGCATTTGTCAAAATGTTTTAACCTGATCTGAGGAAAAATATTATATCTAGATCATTTTGCTTGTTTAAACTGATGTTGATTAGACATTTATTTTAAAAAAGTCCAGGATGCGTCAAAAGCTGATGAGTTAATTAAATTGTATGTAACATTTGGCAGTTCCAGTCTTGTGACAGATTTTGTGACAGAATCATCCTTTACTCCAATGCATCTTGTTTAAGTACCAAAAAACAAAAACAAAATAATGACTAGTACTGTACAGTATGTGACATTGCCTTTACTTGACTTTCTTTACAACCATCAATTCATTTGTAGCATATCTCTGTTCACTATATCTGGATATTTGGATTTGGCAGATACATTTTGGGATGCTTCTCTTTACAAGTAGTTGGTCGTATAATGAATGAATGTTATTTGTTGCAACAGCTGTTTTATTTATATTGGTTATAGACTTCATTCAATTCCCATATGATTTCACTGTTTTTAGTATTAATACTGTATATTTAATGGTATCATAGGAAATAAACCAGTTAACAGTTCAAATAACCATATCATAAAAGAAATGCAAGGTATTACTTTTTTGCCCTTTCTGTCAGACCATGCTTTTATCCTTAAGTTGGTTTTACCAAACAAAAAAAACAATGCTATGTGCGTGCTGCAGTGCTGCCAAATTGGCACAGATTTTACAGACACAATGGACTGTTTCTTGTTTGTGCAGGAACAGCTGTGAAAAAGCTACTCAAAACATACAAACCATTCTTTAAACAGGATGACAGTCTATAATGTTGAATTGCGAAAGATAGGATTGGCTTTGTCTAAAGTGAGTGCACATATACAATATTGTATCTGTACCAAATTTATTTGTTTTTGAATTTTTACAATTTCTCTCACTATAGTAAAAAAATCCTGTATGTTGGGAAAATAATGTTAAATGGGCCAAAGGGATGAGTTTATAATTTCAATATTCTCGGAAGGCAATTTTGTGCCTTTTCTGATAAATGTTCCTTAGAGATCTTTAGCTTTTTTCCAGTATTATGTGTGTTTTTTTTATTATAAATATTATATATACATCATGGGACTGTAGCTGACACTATACCTTTTACTCTATGATTTCCCATCAGATAGTCTCAGAAGTATGCTGCATTTTAAATCGATATAATTTCTACTGAAATATATATTAAGTGATTAACGTACAGTACATAATTTGTTTACAACTAATTATCCATAAGGCATCAACATTAAATTATCACACTATTTCATTCTATCTCCAAATTTTTAAAATATTCAGTATAATATGGCACTCTGTAACATAGAAAACTGGATTTTATGAGATGAAATAGAAAAGCTTGCATCTTCACATAGATTAATGACTTGCGAGCAAGAAGTTATTTGCTTTGTATGTTTTTTTAAATTTGATTACTGTTGTCATCTCAATAGATAATAAATTACAAATTTGAAATCAATTACACATTTGCAATTCTTAAAGCCAAAACTGTGTTCAGTAAAAACCGTATATAAATAAAAATGTCTTTATGAAAACAATGTACTATACCAATATGGTATGGAAAATTAATACTTGCTCATAAACATAGAATGTATTTTTTTTCATTGATAACGAGGCACTTTGCTTCATCTCAGAGAAAAAAAAGTGGATCTAACAAACATATTTACTGTCTATAACATCCAGCAATCGTTATTTAGTCTTCTGAGATAAGAACTATTTTTAACAGGACAGAAATAATGAATGCAGATACTTGTTTGATGGGAATATCTTTGTTTTCTAGTAGCCTTTCCATTTGGAGTCATTAGTGGGTGATTAACGCAGCTCACTGCTGGCCATCTGATCCAGCTGTGGAGAACTGTGGACTATCTGTGCTGCTCTTTGAAGCATACCCTGGTAATGTTAGCTCCACAGTGCCCTACAGTTAGACAGCACTAACCATTGGAACCATTTCTTTATCAATAATAACACCACAGGCTCCTAGCAAGTGCTGGAGGTTTATGTTGTGCAGCAAAGCAGTGCTACCCTCACTGACAGGCCTTAGTAACCCTGGCTGTGCTCACCCAGCTGTGTGCTTCTGCTCTCAGAATCCTGTGCACAGCTGGTTAACACCATGGCCGAGGTTTGACCAGGCAATGTATGGATCATAGGGTTTAGCTAAACAAACATCTTTACTCATTGCACAGAATGGAAAGCCCCTAGAATGTCCAATTATAAAATATTTTACTCTGGAAATTGCTTCTTTTCAAGACTATTAATCATAGGGATGAGGAAAGTTTTACACACACAAGAAAATAAAAAAAGCATAATGAGAAATTTTACATAAGATTATTCCACCCCCTTGCCAGCAGCTATATCACCCTGCAGCTCTCAACTGTCTTCCCACTGAAGCTCAGCAGGGATGAGCCTTGGACAGTACCTGGATGGGAGACCTCCTGGGAAGCTATGGTTGCTGCTGGAAGTGGTGTTAGTGGGACCAGTGGGAGGCACCCACCCTGTGGTCTGTGTGGGTCCTTGCGGGGACATTATACTATAGTGAGCGCCGTCTTTCAGATTAGACGTTAAACCAAGGTCCTGACTCTCAGTGGTTAATAAAGATCCCTGGGCATTTCTCGACAAGAGTAGGGAGTTATCCCAGTGTCCAGGCCAAATCTTCCCCCTCAGCCTTTACCATAGGCTCCAAATTGTCCCCATTTATCATTGGCATGCACTGGCCCTGCGATGGACTGCTGCCCTCTCCAGGGTGAACCCTGCCTTGCGCTCGTTGCTTGCCGGGTAGGCTCTGGTTTCCTGCAACACCGTATGGTATAAAGCGGTTTGGCAAATGACATGATATGACATAATTCCTCCCCTCCAAGCTCTTTCTAAAAAGTACTGTTTGTAGAAAATACATTTTAAACCTGAACAGTAAGTACAATGTAGGCCACATTTCAGCAAAGTTGAACAAGCAATTACAGATAACAAATAAGTGGAAAGTAAACAAGGTATCAATGAACAGTACAATACAGTCATGTTTCCATGGATTAAAAGAAAAGATTGAAATATTCTGTCAATCTGTGTGGATTTTTAAAGTTGTATTTTTTAATGTTTACAGTAATATAAAAGTAAAACTACTTTTTTTCATGCTATCAATGATTTCAATTTACTGTACCTACCTATGTATACCCACTCTATCATAGAGTGTTTATTGTAGATTTAAAAAAATCAACCTTTCAAATGAGTAGCATATAATTTTTTCATAACTGGTGTTCCCTGTATATTTATGAAGGCCCAGTATGGAGCTATGTACCACACAACTCACAAGATAACATAAGGGAAAATGAGTGCAGATATTTTTGCAACAGAACTTGCAACAGAAGTAAACATATCACAACAATTCTTCATTGCTTCTTTTAATTAAATAAAATATCAGTGATTTATTACAACTAATAATTGTTATGGCGACTATGAATTCATATTTAACCTTTCAGATTTATTTGTAAACAAAGAAACACTCTTTTGTGATAAAAGTCTGATCAGATGATGTCATCTAATGTGCTTTCACATGCTTACTAACATTTAGCAAGTACACCAAATCCCACCAAAATGTTGTTTAGCAAAACAACATATCAGGCACCCTAAACATCTAATTTATGATGTAACATATCAAATGGAGTTCTGTCTTCAGCCATTAATCACCCCAGGTCTCTCAAAAGGATTCACACAATGAATGGAAATAATTTTAAAATGTTTTTATATTACCCACAAACCATTTTTGTGTGTTTCTTGAATGCCTTAAGAAGCAAATGAAAGAAAAAAAAGATGGCCCTTTTATGACCATTGGTGCTAATGATAGTAATGACAATAGCACTGTACTGTCATGAACAAATGTAATGTATCTACCATATGTAATCTGATATTAAAAGAAAATATGAAAGTCAACATTAGAAGCCGCTTAGTTAGAAATATCGTTGGTTACGAGTCTTATGGACAAAGAATCAAAATGGTAGAAAAGGATATTTTCAAGAATGAAGGAAAAATGTATTTCAGTTTTTAACACAGTCTCCTATCCAGTCTACAACAAACAGTGGCTAGAAACAAAAGGATTCTCTTTGACATACATTATACTTCTCCCTTTTTCAATGTGGGACTAAAGCACTTCCAAAGTTTTACAAAAAAATATATTAAAATCAGTAATTAGTAATAATATTCTTATTTCATTGCCTTTAAAAGTGTAAAACTGTAAGGTAAAAGAATGGAATTAAATAAAAATGACCTTCAGTTGATGATCCCAGTTTGTTTGAAGTAGAGGAGTCTGGAGGAACACAGTGGATGGACAGCCAGATCCTTCAGCCTAAGTGAAGGTCCATCGCCCGAGATCTGTATGCTGGTAGAGGTAGTGATGGAGATGTGTCAATATAATGTGTGGCAGTCCAGTCACTATAATAAATTGGATTCTATCCGGAGCCAGTGCAGTCCTTGTCTAGCGTATCGCACCAGTTCGGTCATTGTGCTGTGTTGGGTCAGTGGTCCCATCACAGAGTTCAACTCTTGGAAAAACTCTGAAGAGAAAGGAACAGAAGTTTAGCTTTACAACAACAGGCTGACCTTTTGTCATACATTGTATATAGATTTTTGCCAAAATGTATGGCACATCTGAAAGTGGAAAAAATCTTAATATTTATTGTTCAAGTTACTAACATAAAAGTTACAAACAATAAAGGCAGACACTTGAGCTACAGTATCTTGCTCATCTTGTAGTTTGTAGCTAAGTGTTCTGAACATCTCTTCCACTTATTACATGAATGAAGCTACAGTGTCAGCTTCAACAACATGAGTAGTATTTCCCATAAAATCCAACCCACTTTGCAATTGGTGTAGATTTAATTAAAGAAAGCTTAAATATACTGTATATCAGATGATTGCTTTTGAAACTGACTTACTACTCTGCCAAAAGGCAGACCTTGATTCAGTGGCACTATGACGTTAGCAATCTAAGTACAATAATTGGTCTGTTCTGACTTATTCAAACCAAATACAAAGAACATTGATTCTTAATTGGGCACATTATTACTCAAGACAGAGAGAAAGAAAGGTTGAAAAAGGTTGTGTTAACATCTAATAAGCAATCATACAGCTTTTAGCACTTCTACAACATCCCTCAGCAAAAATCTGGTCTTTTAATCAGGTCTCTTCACTTACTGGATAGGAAGTGTCAGGAAAACACACTTCAAATTCAATCTGCAATTTAAAATTTATCTTAGGGTTTCTTGTGATCAATACTTTCACTCATTACTGTGGAAAAGATGTTAAGGGTCTGTTACTTAATCTCAGCCACTGTACAAAGACCATGTAATGAAATCTTTTAGTATGTATTCAATACATCCTGATTTAATAGAGGATAATTACCCCTCTAGTATTTTTTAGAAGCTGAGAGCATGTAGCTCAAATTTCTTGTAGTCATCAGTATCTTTTTCTCTATATATTCTTTCTTTACCTGTTTATGTTTATTTTATTTTCATACAGCTTTAGGTCATTTGGCCTGCACAGAAAATTTTCTTTCATTAAAAATCAATGATTATGGTTAATGATTCCAACATTCAAATTAATTTCTTTCTAAAAGGGCATTTTCAATGAACCTACACAAAATACAATAACTCATGAATAGTAACTTTGTTGTTTGAAAAATACAGCATATGTAATGTTTTTAAGAACCTACTGTAAATGCATTTAACATGTCTCTCCCAGTCATGGGGTAACAGTGGCAGCTTGGGTTAGCTTGGTTACCTTGGCTCTCCCTGGAGAGTTTCTCAGCCGTGTCCCAGTGCTCATAACTGCGCAAGATGTTGTTGGTGATATTGACATGACTGGCAGCCATGTGGTGGATGCGATGAGGAATGGCAATGCTGCCAGTGGAGGAGGATCCCACTGTGCCAGTGGTGCTGCTGACAGAGCCAACCGGAGAGGGACTCAGAGACATGGGTGATGGTGTACCTGTGCTCCTGGGAGAGGATAGTAGGAGTTAAAGAACTAAACAGGACAGAGCACACATCACCAGCCACAACCTCTTATGACACCATACAGTAGTTATTTACTGTCACAGAAGTAGTATTACTTCACATAATTCATCCACACTGTTATTCATTGCACATTCACAAAAAAACACAGGTAGCACCTTGTAAAGATCATGATTTGTTGTTCAACTGAAACATTTTCAGAGCAGTGTTATTTTTTTGTTTTTTTATCAAATTAAGTCATCAGCTAAGGGTCCACTTACACCGGGCTGGCCTTGGGTGACTCAGATTTAGGTTGGCATTTCATTTGCCAGCTAACTCATACTTTTCATTTAAGTTGCCCTTAGGACTTAAGGTGACTGAAATTCAACAAACTGCTTTATGGGAATGCAAGCATTTGCCATACTACATGAAATGATAATGACAGGAAGAAAACTGATATAAACAAGATGGATATTTATTTCCTTGCAACATTGTTTGTACCATAGTAGCTGGACACTGCTGGAGATAAAGTAGCTAAGATGGTGTGATGTTTTGCTTTTTGTCTAAATATGTTTTTATATCCTTTTCCTTCTCCTTAATTTTATGAGTAAAACATGGTAGTGTATTTCTGGAAGATGTGTATGTACTCTGTTTTGTTCGGAAATTGCTTTTGTGAAGTATACAATATGAAATAATGCACCTATTCCTACTCAGATGTTGTTAAATTCACATTGAACTTGTAATTTTTTTAAGTTTCCAAATTTAAAAGTGTCTTTATGTTTTTGAAATCAACAGGTTTGGGAACAGTTTGTTACTTGTGATCTTGTAAATATTTTTTGCAAAGGTGGTCAAGAGACATTCTGCATTCACAGCTATTAGGTGGTGTAAATTTAGGTTGGATCACTGTACATGCATGCTACAGAATAGGTGGGCCTGAGGCTGCCCAAGACAGACCTCAAACCCAGGGGTAAAACTGTTCTTAGACATAAAGTACTGTATTATAGGTCTCAAAGTGGGGAGGTCACAGTGCAATTGATAAGTAGACAGTTGTCAGAATTGCTGCTTAAGCTTAAAGTACAAAGAGAAGGAAATCCATATTATTAATGGATTTAACCTTTTGGCCTCTCAACCTGGTCTCAAGATCATTGCTTTGTACTTATATACAGTGTATTTATACTGTATTTCATTCTTCAAGCTTTGCTATGAATCACTAATGTTGAACTGAACTGTTTGAGCATCAAATAGAAGTTTTTTTTTCTTTGATTTTCTGTCAACCGGTTCCAGCCATCAATCAATGAAAATATTAATCAGTCTTTTAGAGCAAAACCCAAACAATCTGGCTCCAGGTCTTGTAATTCAGTAATAAATTGAAACATGTTCACCTTGTGAAGTGAAATTATGTTCCCTGTCAGCACCCCAGCTTGTACCTGGACAGCTGGGGAGTTTGCTCTAAGAAACAATTCCCTAGAAGGATGAAAAATGAAAATAACTTCTCATTCATGATTGCCAGTATAAAAATAAACCTCAGATAGGAAGCTGAACTCTAATTTCCATGCTGATTACATTTCCAGCAGGTAGTGGAGGTGCTATAAAGGGATTAAGAAGCACAATTTATCGCTAATATAATCACCACAAAATAAGTTCATTCTAATGGAGCATGTGATTCTAATTAATTTTGACAGCTACACTCAATACAAAACAGCAGGGCTGGTCAAACTCTTGCCTAAGAGCCAGCCCAAGCCCTCATCAAACAGTTATTTCTTTCTATAATGTGTTACTGTATATATCTTCTTAGAAATTCTACTGTCTGGTCTCCTGTTATGCATTGTTTCCAAACACTTTTGTTTTTTTAGACATTGAACATTAAATAAACCTCAAGTAAAGGCAAAGAAATATATATTTTTGTCTATTTTTTGTATATAAATGTTAGTGGCTGTGTGCTTTTATGTTTTTCCTTCATGCATTAGAAATCTATTCAAATGTTTTTGGCACATACTGTAGGTGCCAACTTTTTTAAGCTAAATTATTGTACTGTATTTGCAGCTATAAAATATTATTTGTAAATATACAGAAATGTTGTAGCCCATGGAAAGATGTTTCCAAATTATATATTTTATTTTTCTTATCATGAATATTAACTGTACAAATTATTGTAAATCGTGTCCTGACTTCTACTGACTCATGCATTGTATTGTATTTTTACCCAATCAGCACCAAATGTTACACATATATGCTGTGTTACGGTGGTGGTTTCAGAAGGTGTATGATGTCCAGCATGTGTTTTAGTGCAGCATTCCCACATTTACGATTCTCACACAAGCTGCATCACATTTGGTACACAGACACAGGTTGGTTTGTTAACTTCTTTTGCATTCCTGTGACAATATCATCTACTTAAGTCAGTCTTACTAGATACAGTTCCTTAAAGGATGCATTCACACATAGGAATATAATATTAAATACCTGTACTTGCCAGGATCCCCAAATGATTTAATTTGTTTTTCAAGACTTTTAAAGCTGGAGAGCAATTTTGACAAATGTGTTTGTCATTTTGGAGGTGAAACACGTTTGCCCTTCTTGAAAGAACTTTAATACAGAAAATCCAGGTATGTGTACAGATTCATATTATGTTATCACTTATATTTAGAATTTAAGAAAGGTGCATGTTTATAAAACATTTATAAATGCTGTGCAAAATACAAATTTTTGAAAAAAGTTTCAATCAACACTTGGACATCTTGAAAATAAGGGAAACATATTGATTGTATGTTGATAGATGTATGTGAGCCCAAGTACCACAACTCTTTTTTATATAATTACCCACATTAAGTTTGGGAATTACAGACTGACGGGAATGCGTGGTATTCCTACAACCTACTGTAACACGTAATGTGATGAATATAGGGAAAGGCATACTTACTTTCCATTGGCACCCCATGGTGAAGGTGCCTGGGAACTTTTCACTGAGTTCTGAAATAATAAAATATAGTGGTCAAAACTAAGACTGGAACAGAATTTTGTTTTTTCTAAGCTAGTATAATAACACTTTCCATTTAGCAAAAAAAAATAAACTGCTGAACTTCAGCAAGACATGTAACAATCATAATGACAATAAAAGAGAACATACTTAAATTGTATCTTGACATAATGCAAATAAGAGTGCAATTCACTTGAATACTGAAGAAGAAAAGGTGCCGAAGCTAAATAGCTTTAAATTACCAAAAAATAGTAAATGTGCTTTCTTTAGAGTAATAAATTTGTTTTTGGGATTAAATGGAAAAGTCAACACTTAAAAAAGTACAATCTCTTTGTTTCAACTTATATTATTCTGAATTATACTGGTGATGTGAAAGAAATAAATATTTACCTTAAAATATTCCATAAGGGAACGGGAATACTTCATTGCATGATCCTTCTTCAGTTTGAACATTCTCAGGTACAGAAGTGACAAACATCTGTAACTGCAATTAACAACAAACCACATGCATTAACCAAAAATCTGTTTTGCCATTTCTGGTGCTATTATTTAACACAGTTGTGTTATTTGAAATAAGATTTATTACATTTTTGTATCCTGGTTCACTTACATTCTGCTATTATTTCAGTAATAACAATGACATCATAGAACAGAGCACCAAATGGCATACAGCAGTGCACTGCAGGGGTTCCCAATCCTGCTACTGGAGGCTCACACACCTGCTGGTCTTCATTCCGGCTGAGCTTAATTATCAAACTGAAGCGTTAATTAAACTAACAAGTTTCTTGATTGGAATATTTTGTTTTTCTGCTAAAAAGTTTGGGATTTGACTTATGAAATGCCATAGTTAATGGTCAACAGGTTTAAGAGCTGAATAGAGTCAAACAATTCAAATTAATCCTGTCATTAAATAAATTAATGGTTCGATTGTGTAACGGAGCTCGGTTGGAACAAAAACTAGCTGTTTCATGTATGGACCTCCTGGACGAGGACTGGTGCCCTCCACTATATTTTATATTTTACAATTATTATACTGTAATTAGTGGGATGTGTTGGACACTCCATTGATCAAATGACTTGTTGAGACGTGTTACATGTCCATTGATACTGGAAGAGATTATATCACACTCTTTGACATACAGTATATAGTACACTGTACTTCACAATAAACACTGCTATGTGAAAACGTAGTGAACTGCACAGATTGATTGTAAACTTAATATTGTAAACTTAAATCATTTGATGTGTTTAGACTTTGTGAATGTTAGGCAGACTGCATCATCAGTAAACAGTACTGATATTTTTCTCTTAGAAGTAACTGCCTAGTGGAAAATTGCAGATATTAAAGTCTATAGACTTTATTTTAAGTTAAATTTACAATTACGTACTACACTTACAGTATCTTTCCTGGATACCCGTAGGGATCCTCTGAATATGTTAAAGGAAACCATGTCACCAACATGTCTACCACCATGTAAAAATCAGTACATACAGTGTATATGTTCAGGGTCTGTTCAACTTTTAAATATTTTATTCTTAATACTAGCAGTATTTCTAATTATGGATTTTAGTCCGCTTTTATGTGTAAATAGGGTCCTTATTGAAATTGTTTTTGAAAATATAAGCCTAAAATATTGAAAATCCCTGATGTAATAAATCTATAAGTACTTAAAAAACAAACTCTAACAATTCAGTGGGCAGAACTTTGCACAAATGCAATAATTATATATTATAATTTATCTAATGTTTAGAAAAAAAACAAGTTCAGTTTCCATAATTTTATAGTATACTTATTTGCAAAGCACAATATTAATTTTCAACATTTAATATGTTTTTTAAATCATATGAACACATGCCTTACAACCAAAATCTAAATATTAATAAGCAATTACAAAAAAAACAACTGAGATATGACAGGCATCACAATTTTCTTTTAACTATTGAATATATGTACTGTATTTAGACAGCTGCTGACAGAAACCATTAGTTATTCTCTAGTAGCTTAATAACATTTGAAATGAAACTTTTTAGCTAATTAAGTAATGTAGCTGGTTTAAATCTTCTCACATTATATGTGGATGTATAATGTGATGGTTGAGTTCAGACTTGCATAATGTTTTAGTAAAGAAAAGAATAACACCTAATATTTTAAAATACTGCAAATTACATACCGTTACAGGTACCACATACCTGCACGTATTTATGTAACTGTACAAAACAATGACTTAACCGAGGCCTCAAGGTCTGTGCAAAGATAAATGACATGCGATTTCAAATAAGTGCCTGCGTAAACATGGCAAAAACTCAGAAAGAAAACCCATAGTACAACAGGAATCTGTTTAAATAATCGTATTCATTTTGCATTATAGATGCACATACATGTACAGTAGGCAGTTCACATAAAGTACTATAAATGTTTATTGCCTGAAATAACAGAGAACATTCTGCTTGCAAATAGAAGATAGATTCAGGCTTACCACAAAACAGCAAGTTTCTTTTCACCCACTGTAGCAGATTGGCCAGTGAAGTTCTTTAATCTCATTGCATACCTTTAAATTTTAAAAATAAGATTCAGGTTATTCAAGTTTATTTTACAGACTGTATTTCTAAAGCCATATTATACATGCTGACTAAAAATGTTCTCTACTTTCTTATTTATTTTGCAAAATTTCATACAGCATATACAGTAGCCATGTTTTTTTTGTCATCATGTTGAATGTTTTATAGAGCTCCATTTGAAAGACAAAGTTAAAAAGCAAGATAATAACTTTAATGATCAAGAACTTACTCTCTATATTTATCTGTTTTTCTAGTGATATCCAAGTAAAATATCACAATTATAGTGACTGGAATTTCCTCATTGCTTTAAAAGCCATGATAAAACTAATTAAGACACTTTTCTATTTAAATTTGACATTCAACAAATAATTGTACACTGAATTGATTAATTGTACAGAATAAACACTGTATTCCAATGTACTTACAAATTATTTGTTTTATAAGAATCTTTTTTAAAAATGCAAATGCAAAACATGAGTTCAATTCTCAGCCCTTTTGTAATTCAAAATTAAAAAATCGCAAATTATTTCAATCATCAATAATGAATATCTAGTGGCACTTGTGCAGAAAAGGTCCAAATAATTTAATTTTTCACTATATTACTAAACTAAGCACTGGTCATTTTATCTAAATCAGTGGTTCTCAAAGTGGTACACGGAGTGCCCCCAGGTGGTACGCCAGATGACCCTGGAAATTTGTTGTGTGCACTGAAAAATGGGGAATTAAAAATTGAATAAAAGTTATTTAAAATGTTTGATCTGTAATTTAATTAATCAGTTTCAGAAAGCTTAAAACAGGTTTTCATATTTTAATAAAATTAGTTTATGTGTCAAATACATAGCCTACGTACTTAGTGGACACAAGGGCTGCTATGTATAAACCATTGTATAGGAATGCGTGCTATGAACCTAAGTGACCAATTGTATTAAAAGAAGTGATCTAGGGAGTTAGGAAGATGTGCGTTATTTTGGAACACTGCCAATCTTGTAATAATATTTACTTACACTTATATAGCGCTTTTCTGGACATTCCACTCAAAGCACTTTACATGTAATGGGGACTCCCCTCCACCACCACCAATGTGCAGCATCTGGATGATGCGATGGCAGCCATTGTGCGCCAGAACGCTCACCACACATCAGCTATCAGTGGTGAGGAGAGCAGAGTAATGAAGCCAATTCATAGATGAGGCCATAATTGGTAAGGGCCAATGGGAAATTTGGCCAGGACACCAGGGTTACACCCCTACTCTTTTTGAAAAATGGCCTGCGATTTTTAATGACCAAAGAGAGTCAGGACCTCGGTTTTACGTCTCATCCGAAGGACGGCGCCTGTTTACAGTATAGTGTCCCCGTCACTATACTGGGGCTTTAGGACCCACATAGACCACAGGGTGAGCACCCCCTCCTGGCCCCACTAACACCTCACCTCTAACACCTCTGGCTGCTGGTAAGCAAAGGGAAGCATGATAGATAACAAAAAATATTCAAGACTGTTCTAGGTTAATTACTTTGAGAAAAATACACCCAGCATCTATGTGTGTTTTGCTCCCATGCATATGAATTAAAAACTTTTTAACTCCTGAGATGGACTCCTGACTGTCTTTTAAGGGGAAACGGGTAAAAATTTCTCCAACAGCGCCACATTCGCAAACAGAACAATTGATCGAAAATGAATACCTCACAAAAATCAAGTATTATGTCATAGCTGATGGAGCCATGGTAGCTCAGATGGCAAGGTCGTCTAGCTCCTGACTGGAAGGTCCCAGGTTCAATCTCAGTTTGGGGCAAGCGATGTAGCTTGCTCTAATGCCTTCCAGACGGCTCCCAGGTCCACTCAGCCTGCTTTCCAAATGAGTACTGGGGTTTAACTTTTCTGGGGGTAATAAGTCAGCCTGAGCTTGATGCTGACCACATCACCTCCATCTCCAGTGTCAGATGGTCAAGAAAAATGATGGCCCTTGCCCTCCATTCCCCATGGGCCTTGATGGCCTGAAAAGGGACCAACCTACCTACGTCATGGCTGAAAGGAATAGATGCCAAGAGTACTGAAGACAACTCCGATAGATCACGCACACTGTTGAGAACATGGAGGACACTAGATCTTCTGCTGAACCTCACACAGAAAGCACTGCTAGTGTAAGCAAGCTTCGGAAATGGCTACAAAGTGATACGATCCAAATTATCTAAGTGCTCAGTGCTATTTTTATTATATGTATGTATGAGTGTGTGTGCGCGCATGCTCATGTTGGTCATTGAGGTTTTCTGTGCTTCCTATGAGAAGATGACTTGGAGATGGTACTTGGATGCTTTGGTTTGATCAGGGGTAGTACTTGGTCCAAAAAGTTTGAGAACCACTGATCTAAATGATTCATTTTTATTTAATCCTAGAAAGTTGTAAAAAAAATTAGGAGAATTAAGGCTGAGATTGCAGTAAGAAGACTAACCTGATGAGTTCCACAGTTTCTGAGTACATTGTGTATGGAGATTTTGCTTCTAACGGATCTCTTTCCATAGCGTTCCCACATTCTATGAATGATAGAGCACCATCTGCATAATTAACAGCTTTGCCAAACTTCTCCATCTAAAAAAAAAAAGAAGACATAAATGAAGTCCGAATACAGTATGTAGTAATCTAAATACATAGCAATATGCTGGGAAAACACCTTAGTCTTATTCAGCTGTGTCAATAGCTTTATCAGCACATCGATAATTTTATTTATATTTAAAAAAAGTGAACATTTGCTGATTGTTTATATGGTACTTGACCTTGAGAAATTTAACTCATGTAATTCTAAGTAATGATGATCACCTGCTTGTTAGCTTGATTTAAGGATTGAATGTCCATTTATGAGAGAAATTTTCCAGAGCATGAGATGGTCCGTTCCAGCAATCATCAGTCTTTCAGAGAGAACAGGAATCCGGCTCTATATAGGACGGGCCATGTTGTGGAAAGTCACCTCTCCTGCCCTGGCTCACTATATTCATCTGTGCAATCATGTTCAGACTGCTGTAACTACAGCTCATACGGTAATAATGTGTGTGTGAAAATGATCTGCATGCTCAGAGCACATTCAGAGGTAGTAGATAGTTGAGAGATCCTGTCTCCTGTGGAGCAGAGAACATTTGAGGTGATGGCAGAGAGAGTGGGGTACTGTTTTATTTATCAGTGAATGTCATTGTAACCTTGGCAGACCTTATCAAAGACTGTATGTGTGAAGATATCATGGTGCGATTTATTCTGACTCTTTGTACAAGCCAACTGTTGGGATAGTATAAATTAACAAGATGAAGGAGATTCCTCCCCACACAAAAACAGCTTCTGTGCGTCTTGAAGGTAGCCACACTGCTTAGTGATACATTGATAACTTTCACAAGTTTAATTTTCAGGCAGGACAAACCAAGAAAAGGCATAGCTGGGAATACAATGGCATGACTTCAGAGAAGATAATAATATCGAGCTCTAGCCACAGCCAGCTCTGGCCATGAGGAGACAACTTCAACTGGCCAACCTTTGCGAGCAGGCTGGGTTGCACTAGAAGTATGATTGAACAACACAGAGGCTGATCTCCTCCATGTGTACTGTGCTGCCAGGACTGTTAATTAATTGTCAGAGAGGTCATACCTGGTTTGAATTTCTGTTTTAGTTTTGGCAGCAATTCAAATTTCTTAATGACCTGTATTTTTATTGCATATATTTTGTGCATTAGTATATTAATATGATGATCAATCAATGAATCAATTAGAAATGAGAAGAAATATCAAGCAATATTTATCAGTTACTTTTGGATATGCTGTATATTTTCCATTATATTAAACTGTTCTATTACATTAATGTATTATCACAGAATGTATTCCTGAAACATATCTCTAAAGCAGTGATACAGAAAATACAGCCTTTTAAATATGATTCTAAATAGGATTTACAGGACAAATCCACAGTACGTATCAATTAACACTACTATCCAGCAAAAACTATGATTTGTATCCTTCTGTTATAACTGTGTTTATGTATTCTGACAATCAATTTCCTGTAATTTGTACTCATCATTGGTTTTATGAGTACATATTTCTAATAATATACATGTAACTTTCAATACAACATATAGGCTGGAAAAATAATCTCTAGAATCCAATTATTACAGCCATATGAGTTTGTATAAATCAAGACTGGCTTTCTGCATTAAAATGTAAGTGACCATTCGATTCAATCAGAGCTGCTGTAGTAACAAAGCAACAGAAGTCTAATGTAAGTCCATTTTAGGGCTTCTCAAAGAAAATGAGAGTTACTTATAATTTGTATCTCCCAGCTGATATGCACAATTAACCTCTTATTCCTCAGCGCATTTACTTATCTAGGTATTAATTATCAACTCAAAATCCCCATAGTAAAGGTAATAAAATGCTTCATCTGATTTAATATTGTGGATGTTGTAATCAAGGGGAATATGAGAGACAGATACATCATGATTCATGCTTATTCCTCTAAAAAAACAGCAGAAAGAAAAAAAAAACACAAATTAATTTTATTTTGAAGCATACCAGTGCATCCGCTTTGTGCTTTAATTTCTTAGCTTCTTGCATATAGTGGTCTGCATTTTGAAGTCTGTGGGAAAAAGGGGAGTAACATGGACTGTAACAAAGGCTGACAGAAAAAAATAGCATTTTTAATGAAATCTAAAACAATAAGAGAGGAAAAGCTAACTAAAAGAAAAAATGTGATTCCTATTTGAGTACCTGCCATCTTCACAACATGATAAAACCTGTAAGGTCTAGTATCTGATTAAAACATTTCTGCAAGAGCAGTTTCAATTTTTTAAAGTACCAAAGAAGTCCATTTCTTTTCACTTGTAGTTCTTAAATGTTATTTTTCAGGATGTGCTTGTAATGGGATTGTGGAGTAATTTCTCAGTTAATTCGATTATGTTGCCAGAAATCAACTTCAATCAACTTATTCAATACTGAGTTATTAGCCAGTTTACACAAAGCCACCCAGATGCAACTCTTACGTATCGTCAAACGTCAGCTTGGGCCTTCTTGGCTCCAGGTGGTCTAGTGATGTTGATGATAGGTTAGACCAAAGGTCAGGGTCGGATTGTCCGTTGCCAACCAACCCGCTTGGAGGCTTACTGTGGGCATCTTCTTCCTGCACACAAAAATAATAATTAAGGTCAAAATTAATGCTCAGTTGGTCTGTAATAATACCTTCGATGAACACAATTTGTACTATATAGTATTTCTGACAGTGTCTTTTTTTGTTAAATTCACACATGGATTCCATTTTCTTGTCTTAAATGCTTTTTTGAGTTTCTTCCAAAAAGTAATTAGTACTGGAAAACACAGGAAATGGCAGCAAAAGCCTGAAGCAAACGATTTTGAGGTTACTGTCCATCCAGCTTTTGCAAACTAAATCACACTCAATGAAACTGAATTGGGCTTCTTTACCATTCAAACAGACAGAAGCCAAATTTCTAATAAACAGTCAGTTTTATGTTTATAAACCCAGATCAACAGAAACAAATGAAGCAGAAAATATCAGAACTCCATATAAAAGTGTTATATAAAGCAAAACTACCCTCTTATATATATTATTTAAATTCATATAGAAAGCTTTATACCGTGAGTTAAAAAGTAACAGGCATTAACACAAAAAATCCCTTTTCTTTATTTTTTAACATACAGAATATAACATTTGCTCAAGAAGAAATCGTACTTCATTGTTTTTTTTTCCTAAATATGCCATCTAAAAATGTTATGTTTTAGTTAAGGTACAGTAATAATCTTGACAATAACATTTTTGATAGTCAAACATTGTGCAATAAGTGGCTTCTTCTACCATAACTGATTTTCTTCTTTATTGATTGCATAACTCATTTCTCACAAGGATGGTACATCTAATTATCTGCAAATATATTTAAATTAGGAACAAAATAGTATTTTAAATATATAAAGTTAGCAGTATTGGCGATTTAAAACCAAACCATGTCAGATCTCACAAGCCTAGACTTAATCCCATTCAATACTTCAAAAGGTGTCACCCAAAAAAACCTTTGGCTGCTGATAAAAATTAGTACACCAGCAGGGGGCACTGTTTCCTTTGGACCAGAATTTCCTAACCATTCTCAGTGTTTAACAAGTGTGTGAGGTGCTGTTATTTTTGAACAAATATTAAAAGTAGGCCTTATTCACTGTGGACATTATGTCCACATTCAAATCCAAACAAGCTATAAAAACTGATTTAATAGAGAAATTACTGTTCATGTTGTATTCCTGTTAGTATATTGCTATAGCCTATTCATTTGCAATGAAGAAATATGTTTTCACTCACACTGACAGTTTTGGAATGTGTGACCATTTTGTTCTCTCCTTTGCGGTGCCTGTTAGAGGTGGCAGAGGTGGAATGAGTGGGCAAAGTACTGGTTGAACTGGTGCTACCCTCCTGGATGAACGAGCTGCTTTCAGTGTTTCTCCGCAGGTGTAGCGGCTCGTCTGACAGAGGAGACAGGGGGGGAGGAAGGAGTTTTTCTTCCCGCTTCCTGGGTTGTTTCTTCAAGGAGCTTCAGGTCACCAGAAAGAAGCAGAGGTAGTGGGAGAGGAGTAAAGTGATTAATGAATAAAATGACAATAGATTACCATAAAGTATTCCCTCTTTCAAAGGAAAGAATTTACTCCAAGCCACAGAAATTGCTTACCACACATGTAACATGTAGAATCTTAATGCTCTTCAGCTTACATTTACATTTGAGTGTATCGTGACCAAAAGAAAAAGAGTAAACAAAACAATGAATTAAATATCATTCCAGGAGTCATTAAGTGTACAGAGTAGCTATGCTTACTACTTCTATTATTGTGTAAGATGTCCATAATTATTCTAGCAACCAAGTGACAGCAACATCAACGTTACTGACCTATTACCATTACTTAAATTACCAACAGAGTAATTACAATAATATATTTAAGTAACATTAAAAACTCCCACCTAATTCTGAAATCTCCATATTTTACAATTCATCATTCAGAGCATGTTTTTTTAGAAAGAATTTCAATTCATTCAATTTACAAATACTTCACAAATTGTTTATATAAAAATAATAAACACCTACAACTAGTTACTGCTAGATATATACTACTTGATATATTCTACTTGAAACAAAGTTTAAAACAATTAAATACTATTGAATTATTTTCATTCAGCAAAATTCCCTTGCAATACATTCTCTAGTTATTTATGTAAGTAATTATATCTAATCACTCTTACTGCCTGCAAGAAAAAAAATTTGATCCCATAGGAGGTAAAAAATAGATAAATGCATTTGAATAAATCAAATTCAGGTTTCTGGTACTAAAACTGTAAGATTTCGTAGTTTGCACTAAAACGTGACTTTTCAAACTTTAAATTGCCATTCCCCCGGATTAAAGTTGAAAACTCATTCACAGCTGAAGTGGAAGACTGCTAAATATTTGACATGCTTTAGGTGGCACCAGGAAAGGATTTCAGAAGAGAAACAGAAACTTGTTGGTGCTTCTCTCTGCAGTAGTGCTTACTCATCTCAAACATGGCACAGCACCAAAACAAACCAATGATAAGTGGCAGAATTCCTGCAGCATAGACTGTCTTAAAAATGATAGTATTCTCTTTGAAACAAGCGGTTCTATAATCCTTAAGATTAGACAGTTGAACATCCAATCCTTTAAAAATTTATTTTCAATTCTGTTTAAATGATATTGCTTCTTCTGGAAATACAGACATATTAATCAAACTAATTGAATAAGACCTTAACACTATGGGTACTATTTGTAACTATATTTACAGTACAGCTATAAACCCTGCTGTAAATATTCCACTAAAACATGTTAAGGAAATGAGGGTTTCTATGTGATTCACTAGCTGTGTTTTTCATACTGTAGGCCTATCATTTACTATATGTACAGTACTTCATGATAAAACCAACACATACAAGTGGATAATCTATATTTTTGGGGATAGAAGCCCCTATGGCTATTGTTAAGAAAATATTATTATTTATACCCTTTTTTTGTCATTTTCAATGATTTTGTGGATTATTTTTGATCCAGAACTCAAAACTCAAAACAGAACTCAAAATTACCTTACAAAGCTAAGGATAGCCTGAAGCCCAGTAATCTTACAATACCTGAAGCTGAGACTAAAATTAAAATTTGATTTTCAACATACAGTATAAACTCATAATCATTGGTTTTGTTTAGTCAACCAGAAAATAGTTCCATCTCTAATGACTTTGGAACTGCTTAAAAGCATTAAAGATGTTGTGCCTGCATGCAGCGATATTCTTCCCAATTTGTTAACAATTCCTAAGCATGTTGGTACTGTATTTCCACCTCATGTATAGCTTTCAAAATTCTTCATAGTGAATTTAATGATTTTACAGAATGCCAAACTTCATAAAGCCCTTTGTCCAAGTGTTAAAAATTACTGTATGAAATATTTAGTTACCTTTAAATGTGTATATGATGCATAATCATATCGCCAGCAGCCATATCACCCTGCAACTCACAACTGGCAACCCACTAAAGCTAAGCAGGTGTACCTGGATGGGAGACCTCCTGGGAAAAACTAAGGTTGCTGCTGAAAGATGTGTTAGTGGGGCCAGCAGGGGGCGCTCACCCTGCGGTTCATGTGGGTCCTAATGCCCCAGTATAGTGACGGGGACACTATACTGTAAACAGGCACCGTCCTTGGATGAGACGTAAAACCGAGGTCCTGACTCTCTGTGGTCATTAAAAATCCCAGGGTGTTTCTCGAAAAGAGTAGGGGTGTAACCCTGGCATCCT